CTCCCCCCGCCTCAGGTCCGCACGAGTGGTTTGTCCCGGCGGGTTCCGGCGTGGTGATGAAGGACGGGGAGGAGGCCACCATCCCCTGCGCCGTGTCCGATCCGCTTCTCAACGTCAGCCTGTACCGGCGCGGGGACAAAACGCCGGCGTCGGGACCGACGTACGAGCCGGGCCGCGGCTTCACGGGACGCCTCGACGACTCGTCTTACGTGTGCGTGGCCTCCAGCGGCTCTGAGGAGACGCGCTCGCAGGTCTACTACGTCTTCAGTGTCGTGGGTGAGTTTCGTCCGCGGGCGCGTCGTCCCGGGGCGCCCGCCCGCCCGCGGCTCACCGACGTGTCCGCCAGTCGCCAAGGCGATGGAGGTGAACTTGACGGCATCCGGCAGCGTGCTGAAGCGCGGACAAGCGCTGCTCGTCAACTGCACCGTCCGACACGTCGACATGGTCTACTTCTCTTGGAAGTTCCCGCGGAGCGAGGTACTGCGCTTCCGTCGTCGCCCGCCGGCTCGCTCGACTGGCCGGCGCCTCCGCTCGCATTCTCGGACCGCCTCCGAGTCAACGGACCGGCGACTCGGTTTCCGATGACCCCTTTTGTGCGCCTTTGCCTCGTGTCCTTCCAGGAATTTGAGTCTCTCACAGAATTTCTGCCCGATCGAATCCGTTCGTTTGTGAACATCCCCTCGGCGACGCTGGCAGACTCCGGTAGGTGCCGCCGCCGCCGCCGCCGCTCACCTTTGGCCACGCTAACGGCGAGATGTCGCTGATGCTTCCTGCAGGCGTGTATGCGTGCGCGGTCCAGGAAAGTCTGCAGGGACGGCGCGTGGAAAAGAACATCACAGTCATCATACTGGGTGAGCACACGCGTACGAACGCACGCAAAGAACCACGACGACGCACATTCCGACAAACTAAAAGCACGGGACACACGCACACGCGCGCCTGCAAAGACACACTCACATCACGCGGAATCCCCACAGATCGTGGTTACGTTTCCGCGCGCGCGACCCACGACACCAACGTGTCTTCGCTGGTCGGTCACACGGTGGCACTGCGGGTGGCGGCGGACGCCCACCCTCCGCCCACGGTGGCGTGGCACAAAGATAACCGGAGCGTCATCGTCACCGCGGGAACGACCGTCGTGTCCACCGCACGCGTGTCGGACGGCAGGTACGCTAACCGCGCCGCTACTAACGGTGCCGGCACGGCGCGGCCGCAAAACTCACCGCCGTGCGACCTTGCAGGCTGCCCGTCATGCGAACCGGGATGGATGCTGACGCCAACGCTAACATGAATGCTAACCGTGCCGACAACAGCATGGCTCCCGTGCTGCTAGCTGCGATGCTCAAATGAAGCCAGCAAAAGTGCCAACCGTCACCCAGCGACTCTGTTCATACCGACAACGCTAACCGCGATTGGCACAACCCCGCCGCTAACAATGCTAACCAAAGCGTGAAGAGCGACGCTGACCAGGACGCTCTCCGCGCAAGCCTGACGCAAAGCAACGATGCTAACTGCGATGCCGACGTCACGCTAACAGCTATGCTAACCTGACACTAGCAACCGACCTGTCGGCGACAGATACGTCAGCACTCTGACCTTGGCGAGGGTCCGCTTGGAGCAAACGGGAAGTTACACGGCCAGCATCTTCAATGAAGATGAACGGGAGGACGTGATCTTCTACTTGCAAGTTCGAGGTGAGCGAGCGAGCGAGCGAGTCACTCCTCATGGGCAGCTTGACAACTCGGTCTGTGTGGGAGTGTGTTTGTACGTTGCGGTGTCCACGTGTGATTTTGGATGTGTGTGTCAGTGTGCGTTTTTTGCGTTTGTGCGCGTGCGTGTATTTGAAAATGTGGACCGAATGTTAAAAGTTTGTGCGCTGGCTTCATTTTGCGCGCGTCCGCAGCGCCCCCGAGGATCACGTCGCTGACGGAGACGAGCGCTGGGGCCATGTTGTGCGTCAGCGAAGGAGCTCCGCCCCCTTCTGTCACCTGGTTCACCTGTCACAGCGCACACGGGTAAGAAGAACGCCGCTTAGCTTAGCGGTAGCTCACTCAACCCGCCGGACGCAAAATGCTGCGCACGGAGCAAACGTCACCTCGACAACAATAAACAATAAATGAACAACCAAGACGGCAAAACTGAGATCCACATCGAGGCCGTCCGCCCGCCAACACGGTGACGCGCTAGCGTGGACCGGTTTTGTGTGACATCACAGGAAGTGTCGAGCCTTTTGCCCGCAGGTGCGCCAACGGGACAGGTCGCTGGACGAGCCAATCGGGTACTGGGAAGGGCGCGCTCCTGCAAGAGAACGTCACCGTCCTGGCGGACGGGGGCCTGACCCAGGTAAGCGGTGAGGTCCCGCCCCACGCGGGGCGCCCGCGACCTCATCCGTCCTCCCCCCCGCCCGGCAGGTGCGCAGCCTGCTGATCCCGGACAGCCCCAAGACCTTGACCGCCGTCCGATGCGAGGCCTCCAACTCTGCGGGACGACGAGCCAGAGACCTCCGGCTGGTGTCCACTTGTGAGTGTGACGGGCGCGCGACGGAGGCGACTGGATGATGGCCGGATGCCTCGGGAAGTAGACGGATTGGTGGCGATGGATTGACGGGAGAGGATCCGGGAGATTCGAACGATCGATGTTCACCGGACCTCGTCTTTGGTAATAAAGTCGCAGTGACCGTGCGCTTCCTGTCCAGCTCTTTTGTCTCAGGTGGCCATGTTGGCGCTGGTTCTGGTTCTGGGGCTCATCGCCATCATCTTCCTGGTCATACTCGTCATCCTGTGGAGAAAAGTCAGTCATGCGCCGCGTCGTCGCGCTCGCGCCCTCCTCCTCCTCCTCCTCCTCCTCCTCCAAGTGCGCCGCAACTCGCCTCGCCCTTCAGAAACCTCGCTACAAAGTCCGCTGGAAGCTGATGGAGTCCGTCAGCCCCGACGGGCTGGAGTGCGTCTACCTGGACCCCGACCGGCTGCCCTACAGCGCCGCCTGGGAAATTCCCAGGGAGGACATCGAGCTAGGTCGCGCTCACCGCGACGTCGTGCGCTAGCGGTGCCGAGGGGAAGCCCGCGCTCGATTCGAGTTGCCGTGTGGCGGTGGCGTGTGTGCAGGTGAAGACTTGGCGTCGGGAGCTTTCGGACGAGTGGTGGAAGCCCGGGTGTCGGGTCTGCTCCGGGACCGCAAGACCACCAGAGTGGCCGTCAAGATGGTCAAATGTGTGTCCCGCGTCCTGATGCCGTCCATGTGCGCTTCGAGCTGCACCTAATTGTGCGTGTGTGTGTGTGTGTGTGTTCAGCCAACAGCGGCGCTCGTCGGTCGTTGTTGTCCGAGTTGAAGCTTTTGTGTCACCTGGGCCCTCACGTGAACATCGTCAACTTGCTCGGAGCGTGCACGTCCGGAGGTGACCTCAGGCCCCGCCCACCGAGCCACGGCGCCCTCGGTGACGCCCCCTGCTGGCCACCGGCACGCTGACGCCCTTCCTCACCCGCAGGTCCCGTCTACGTCGTCACTGAGTTCTGTTGCCACGGAGACCTGGCCGGCTACCTGCGACGCCACAAACGCGCTTTTGTTCACGACGACGCACTCGCCAAGAGGTACGCGCCCGCATGCCCGAACGGAGAGACACACTTACGCACAAATACACACGTGACTCGTGTGTGTGTGTGTGTGTGTGTGTGTGTGTGTGTGTAAAGATATAATAAAAAAGAAACAAGAGCACGCACAAAGGAAAAGAACAATAAAGTGTGGGTGTGTGTGTGTGTGTGTGTGTGTGCGCGCGTGTGTGTATATTACACATGGCTGAAAGAAAAAGCACACCTACTGAGAGTGTTAATGTTACACTTCCGACACACACAGACACACGCGCGCACATACCATATGTTGAATGGTAAAGGCGCATGCCCCCTCCAACTCGGCAACCAAAGCATGGCACAGGTCCCTCCCTCTGACCGCAATACCGTTATTTCATCGCAAATCAAGGCTGTCCAAGGAAATCCTTCATCAATCCATTTCAATACAGTGAATTTGACAAACTTTGAAAAATAAGGCCACAAACGTCCGCCACCACTGTTTAACGAGGGTTCACTAAGATTCTTCTTCTTTCTCTCTGCAGTTACGATGAATGCGTGGGCCCCGGTTACACCCACATCTACATACCCACAGACGACCCCCCGCCTTACTCGCTATGGGACCCCCATCAGAACAACTCCGAAGGGGCAGAGGAGGGTCCCAGTTCTGCCAGCGCAGCCTCGCCGCCCCCGGAGCATCGACACATCGCATCCATCTCCTTCCCGTTGGAGGCTGCGCCGCCGTACGAGGCGGTGATTGGCGAGCAGGGGCCACCGGCACGCTGACGCCCTTCCTCACCCGCAGGTCCCGTCTACGTCGTCACTGAGTTCTGTTGCCACGGAGACCTGGCCGGCTACCTGCGACGCCACAAACGCGCTTTTGTTCACGACGACGCACTCGCCAAGAGGTACGCGCCCGCACGCCCGAAGAGAGACACACACTCACACACAAACACACGCGTCACGTGTGTGTGTGTGTGTGTGTGTGTGTGTGTGTGTGAAGAGAGGCAGACGGCGGTTACATGGACATGAGCAAGCAGGAGGGCGCAGCCATCGTCGGCGACAGCGAGAACGCGGCGTCGGGTGAGACGGGAAAGTCGGCGCGTTGTCAAAGTTTCCCTCCCATCGGGATCGCTGGCGAACTTCCGCAAGGCTCGCCGATCGGCTGATCATCCGAAGCGGTCGCGTTGAGGAGGGAAACGGGCAGGACAGCGGCGGCTCTCTTGGACCCGAGTCGCCTGCCCCGGCGCCGCGGCGAGAGCAACTTACTTGTGTTTGTGTGCGCACGCGTAGCTCAGGACCAGCAGGTGGCGTCGTCGTCGTCGCTTCTCATCAGCGACTCGACCGCGCTCGACCGAAGCGACCTCTGCAGCTTCTCCTTCCAGGTGGCCAGCGCCATGAACTTCCTGTCGTCACGCAACGTAGGCCGGCGCGACTCGGCGGGCAGCTCCGGGCGTGCGCTTAGCGTGCGCTTAGCGTGTGTGTCGTGCGTCGCAGTGCGTCCACGGAGACCTGGCGGCCCGCAACGTCCTGGTGTGCGAGGAGCGGCTGGTGAAGGTGGGCCACTTCGGCCCGGCTCGGGACCCGCTCGAGGATCGGGACTACGTGGCCCGAGGACGCGTCAGTGCGCCGCAACCGCACGGCAGCTCGCGCGTGGCCTCGTCGCCGCCGCCGTGACGTCCCTTTCTGGCCCGACAGGCCTCGCTGCCGCTCAAGTGGATGGCGCCGGAGAGTGTTTTCCACGGTGCGTACTCCTCCCGGAGCGACGTGTGGTCCTACGGGGTTCTGCTGTGGGAGATCTTCTCTTTGGGTAAGACGCCGCAACGCGCCGCCGCAGCAGCTCACACCAGCGTCTCATCGGCGCCTTTTGCCGCAGGCGACAGCCCGTATTCGGACCTGCCCGCGCCGCGCCGATTCTACGCCGCGCTGAAGAGAGGACACCGCTTGGCGCCGCCACCTCACGCCGACTCCAACATGTGGGACGCATGACAGCAAGCATGCCTCGCTCCGCTCGCGCGCATGACGTTGACGACATCTTATGACCGGGCGACGTAACGAGAGCATGCCGGACAAAAATGTGCGGCCGATAACACCATGCGACGGGGCTGACGTACGGCGTGACCGAGGCGCGAATAGCGGCAACCGCGGCAAGCGGCAGCTTTGCAATCTGTGATGACAAACGCGTGACCGCACGCCGCGTGTGCCCAGTTCCGACATGATGCAAGCGTGCTGGAGCGAGCGTCCCGCTTCCAGGCCGTCGTTCGCGTCGTTGGCGGCGTCGCTGGACGCCATGCTGACGGACGACCGCAGAAAGGTGACGGCGTCCTCCGCGTGCCGTCCGCGTGGCCAACGCCTCTCGTGAAGGTCGACGACGCCCGCTTGTTTGCGCCCCGCCCAGGCGTACGCCGAGCTGACGGACCGCTTCCTGACGGGCGACCATCCGGCCGTGGTTCGGTCCCGACTGGCGTCGGCGGCCGTCGACGCGCCGAGCGACGGCGACGGCGCGACCCCGTCGCGTGAGGAAAATGCGAGGCTTCACCGGCCGGAGGCGGGACCTTCCCACGGTGAACGCGGCCTTCCCGAAGACACGGACAGACGCGAGGGCGAGTGCGGCGCCGCGCTGGACGCCGAAAGGTAGGGTGTCGTGCAGGTGATTGATTTGGACGATGTTGACGGCGGCGTCGACCGCGAGGGTGACGATGACGATTGGCCCGCTGTGTTTTCCCGTTCAGAGCCGAGGAGCCGCTGGCTGCCCGTGAAGTGACGTCGTCGGGCGAAAGCGAGGCGGAAAGCTGTGTTTGAGAAACACGTCCGCGTGGCATGGTAAAGAGATCCGTCGCATTTCTGACGGCACGCGACGCGCCCGTCCGTCCTTTCTTGTATCGCAACTTCTTCTTCCGCTCGGCTTGAATTAAAAACATGAAATGCCACCTGCCTGATGACTTTGTTTTGTTCTCCAAGCGTGAAAACATTTGGACCAAGAAAGGGGGGCGGGCCCTGTGTTGGCACCGCCTCCCTCCACCCCCTCTCGGTTTTGCTTCTGTCTGAGGGCCAGAGGAAGGTTTGAGGTCTAAGATCGCCGGACAGCCGAGGCCGCCGGCGGCCTCTTAAGGTCTCAGACTTCCGGAGATCCGAGACCGTTGAAGGTGCGACCCACACCGTTGGAGATCTTCAGCCAGCGGTCGTCTGAGGGGCTCGGCGGTCATCCGCCATTCAACTTCTGAGACCAGAGAGGCTTGAAGACTTTTGGACGCCCGAGGCCGCCGCCGGTCCGAAGCTGTTGGAGGTCCGAGATCGTCGGAGTGCCGAAAACCGTTTGAGATCGTCAGCTATCGGTCACGTGTGACCCTCGAGGCTCATTTGCCCTCGACGACCGTCACGAGACCGTCGACGGTTAAAAGAGACTCTTTTGGGAGTTTATTGCCAGTCTGAAACTGTGCGCGGTCCCTGAGACCGCGGGAGATTGGAGACAGGGAGGGGTCTGAGCTCGTCGCACATCCAAGGCCGTTGAAGGTCCAAGTCCGAACGTCTCGGAATAGGTCGGAGAAGGCCCGGGACGCATCCGGGGGCCCTTTTCGTGTCTGTCGCTGCTGAAGGTCACTTGAAGAGGGAAGTGTTAGGACGGGGGTCAGAGGAGGCGGGCTGAGCGCCGATCAGGAAGTTGAAGAGCCGCTCGCTCGAGTGTCTGTCGGTGAGTCAGAAGAAGAAGAACAAGATGAAGACGTGGTCGTTCCCTCTCCTCCTGCTGTCGGTCGTCTCTGCCCAAGGTAAGAAACCCGAGCCGGTCGGCGCTCGTGCGCATTTGTCGCGGAACGCCAAAGTCGGACGTGAGGAGATGTCGATGCTATTTGGTGGAAAGAAGACGCCCCGAGCCAAAAGGTCGCAAATGTTTCGCGTTCCCTCGTAAGACGGGCTTTTGGCGTACGCGGCCTTTGCTACGCAGCCCCGCGCTCGTTCGCGTCGGCAGAAACGAAACGATCGTTCGAGGATTGCGAACAACTCACGTTCGGAGACAAACGTGAGTTGCACGACGCCCACTCCGCTGATTGACGGCATGTGGGCGGAGCAAGCGCCGGCCGGGTGTGACGTTAGCACGCGAGGGTTCGCTCTCCAAAATATTTGTCGAGTGTGAATGGAATGTTTCACGTTTGCCAATTGAGCCCCTTTTGAGCGTTTTTCCTGATCCCGATGAGGACGGCGGCTTTTCTTCCTCTTTTGTTTCGTTCCCTCCAAACCGCTGACAGACGTTAAAGTCGCCGCTTTCGCTTCCTGTTTTGCTTCCCATCTTGCGAAACGCGAGCGTCATGTCAACAAAAATCTCTTCTTTGTTCCCGAATTGTCCGTCCCCCAAGAATAAACGTGCCCGCGCTTCAACGACGCCACTCAGATTGATGAGGGGGGGGGGGCGTGTTTGAATTCAGGCTACGCGGCCTTCCCGCGTGGCGTTGGCGTGTTTGCCGACGGCCGCGCTGACGTGAGCCGGCAGCAGCCCCGGCCGGGCGCGCCCCGGCGCTCATTTGACCGAGAGTGAAATGGCGCCCAAAAAAGTTTTTTTTGTCCCCCCCCCAGACGCCTCTTGGCCAACCATTCGACTGAACTCGCAGCCCGTGCAGAACCAGTCCGAGGCGACTCTGACGGCAGGCTCGCCTTTCAGCCTCAGCTGCCGCGGCAACGCGTCGTTGCGCTGGTCCAGCACGGCGTTCCGCTCGCCGTCGTTGTCGCGCGGCGGCGAGCTGAAGGTCTGGCACGCCCGACCGAGACACACGGGGACGTATCGCTGCGCGTACGCCGACCGCAGCCTCGAACGCCTTCACGCCTCGGTGCACGTCTACGTCCGAGGTGAGCCCCTCGGCCGCCCCTTCCCGTTGTCGCTCATCGCCGAGATCTTTTTGACCGACCCTCCCATCAGATCCGTCGTCGCCCTCCGACGTCTTCGTCACGCCTCACTTCACGCCCGACGTCAGGGAGGGCGACGACTTCCTGTTCCGCTGTCTGCTCACCGACCCGTCGGTCACCAACCTAACCCTCCGAGTGAAGGAGGAGGGGCCCGGGGGGGGGCGGGAGCGGGAGCGGGACCTGCCCCCGGGCATGAAGGTGAGCGCGGATCCCCGCGCGGGAGTCCTCATTCGCAAAGTGGACAGGAAGTTCAACGGACGCTACGTCTGCGCCGCCTGGAACAGCAACAACACGCGCGTGACGTCCAACACGCTGCACCTCATCGTCACGCCGAGTAAGAAGCCCGTCGAACGCTCGCCGTTCTCTCTCTCCCCTCCACATTGACTTGTCTGTCTCTCATTCGTCGATCGCTCATCTGTCTTTGTCTCACTTGTCCGTCTGTCTTTCGCCTGTCCGACTGCCGTCCCATCAGGTCATCCACCGTCTCGCTCTCTCTCTCTCGCGTTGTCTCTCACGGCCGCGGCCGCGTTTGCGCGTGTGTTTAGGACAGCGTCATCCTCCCGAGGTGTCACTGAATCAGAGTGAGTTTTTCCGCGTGGTGGGAGAAACCTTTGCGGTGACGTGCGTGACGAGTAACCCCTCCCTCATCTACGGCGTCTCCTGGACATCCCCCAGCAGAGTCGAGGTGAGACCCGCCCTTCGATGCGCTTTCGCGGCCTTGGGACATTTTGACGCCAGGTGTCCCGCCGGCCCCCCCCCCCCCGCAGGGCGCAATCACGACACAGTCCCGTCACTACGTCGGCAACCGCTTTTACATCAACAACACGCTGACCCTCGACGCCGTCGGTCGACAGCAGAGCGGACGCTACACGTGTACGGCGAGCAACGAGGCCGGCAACGCCACGGCGACGGCCAGGCTCCGCGTCTTAGGTGAGCGGGCGGCGGGAGCGGGAGGGAGTCGCGTACGGGCCGGACGCGAGTCACCTGACCTTCGACCTTGGGGCGGCAAACGAGCTATCGCTGCAACATCAAGCGCACATCCTGAATTTGGAGAGTTCAGTCATGTGACTGCCCCCCCCTGCCCCCCCCACTCAGTCTACTCATGCAATCCTTGTCCATCACGTGTAACACGCGTTCCCGCCGACAGGCGCTCCCTTCCTGACCGCCTTCCTGGAGGTGCGCACGATCGCCCCGAGCGGCGCGGAGCCGTTCGGACGACCGCGTGGCAACGCGAGCGACGACCCGGTGACGAGCGAGCGGGAAGTGCTCGCTAACTTGAGCGCGGACGCGACGGCGGCGCGGCGGCTCAACGGCAGCCGCACGCTGGACGTGCTGGAAGGCGGCGACGTCACGTTGACCGTCACGGTGGAAGCGTACCCGCCGCTCACCGGCCTCGAATGGAGCTCGCCGACGCTCGCGAACGGCAGCGCGGCGCACACGCTGAGCTACGCGGCCGACGGCTACAGGTCGGCATCGCTCTCCACGTTTTGGCCCTCCGTCCACTCCCGGCGTACTCGGCCGCCCCCGCGCTGGCGTATTTTCTCTTTCCCGTCCTGTCCGATTTGGTCCTCGTTGCGTCCCTTTGTTGTCACAGGGGTGCGGCTTCTGTCCCGTCCCGCCCTCTTGACTTCCGATGACGACAAAAGTTTGCATTGGCAGGTCCCGAGCCAGCCTGCGGCTGCGTCGCGTGCGTGACGAGGAGAAAGGTCTCTACGCTCTCCGCTACGTTAACGCCGTCGTGAGCGGCTCCTTCAACTTTGACCTGCGCGTTCTTCGTAAGAAAGTCCTCATCTTGCCCGTACCCGGTGACCCCATCGATCCGACGGGTTGTTATGTTGGTGTTTTTTTTTTTTTTTTTTTTTTTGGGTTGTGTGCGACGCAGGCGCTCCTCGGGGCGTCATCACAATGGAGAACGACACCCTGACCTGCAGCGGTTCCGGTTTCCCGCCGCCCGCCCTCTTGTGGTCGCAATGCAGCGGTTTGGTGGAAACGTACGTTCGAAGCGGGGCGAGGGGCCGTCCTCCGCCTCCGCCGCATCACTCGAACTTCCCCCTCGCTCAGGTGCGGCGATGTTGCGGCCGACGGCCCCGAGGACGTCGCCGCGCAGGAGGGGGAGGAGCCGAAGAAACACCTGGCCCTCCCGCAGGCGCTGGATGATGACATCACCATCGAGTGCGTGTCCACCAATAGCGTGGGACGCTCGCGAGACGTCTTCTTCCTGCGTAAGTGCGGAAACAAAAGTTTGGCATCTTTTTTTTTTTAGCTTGCTATTGAGCCGACACGTTTTGGGGCGAGTCCTCGGCCTTCCACACGATGGCGTGGGACTCGGCGTTGTCGGCTGATTTTGTTTATGTCGGTCGCATTTGCCGGCTCGTCGAGTTGTTCTTGTTCTTCTTCTTTGGCCACGGAGGCTCCGTCCGCTCATTCCGATCGTCGCGTTGTCGCACTTTCAGCTTCCGCGGGTTCCGGTGGGCGGAGCGTGCCGGCAACGCCCCTGGCGCTGGCCTCGGCGGCTGCGGCCCTATTCCTCCTGATCATTGTCATCCTGGTGTGGAGGATCAGACGGGTCCGTAGGTCGTCCTCCTTTGCTCTTGCTCCTCCTCGCCATCATCATCATCATCATCGTCACCTTTGGCCTCATGGCTTCGCAGCAACCCAAGTACGAGATCCGGTGGAAGATCGTGGAGAGTTGCTCCGGCAACAACTACACCTTTGTGGACCCGAGCCTCCTGCCTTACAACAACCTCAAGTGGGAGTTTCCCCGAGACAAGCTGCGCCTGGGTAACCCCTCTGGCCACTGGCCGGGTCTGACGTTGACCTTTGACCCCCCGCTCACTCTGTCTCTCTCTTTCGCCCCCATTTAGGGGGCGTGTTGGGGTCAGGGGCCTTCGGGAAGGTGGTGGAGGCCACGGCCTACGGCCTCGGCAGCCAGGATGAAACGCGCGTCGCCGTGAAGATGCTCAAACGTAAAGCGCACCCACACAACAACAAGAGATGCTTAAGAAACGCTTGCCCCCGCCTACAGCGGCACTTGACTTGACCCGCGGCGCTCTCCGCTGTTGCGTCCGCAGCGAGCGCTCACTCCGAGGAGCGAGAGGCGCTGATGTGCGAGCTGAAGATTCTCAGCCATCTCGGTTACCACGACAACATCGTCAACCTGCTGGGAGCCTGCACCCAAGGAGGTCACTCCAGCTCAACCCCGAGTCACTTCGCCCGACTCGGCTTCGGTTGCTTGGCGCTCGCTTTGCCCGCGCTTGACCGAAAGCGACCCGTTTGCCTTGACTCGCAGGGCCCGTGCTGATGATCACCGAGTACTGTTTCCACGGCGACCTGCTCCACTTCCTGCGCGTGCACGCGCGCCACTTTGTGGCGGACGTGATGAGTCTGGAGCCGCCCGAGCGCGACGCCAAATACTCCAACGTCAGACTCAGGAGGTTCGCCGGCCTCTTCTACTTCTTCCGTTTCGGATACGTCCACGTGCACGTCACATTGATGGTGTGTGGGTGTGGTGAAGATGCTCAAACGTAAAGCGCACCCACACAACAACAAGAGATGCTTAAGAAACGCTTGCCCCCGCCTACAGCGGCACTTGACTTGACCCGCGGCGCTCTCCGCTGTTGCGTCCGCAGCGAGCGCTCACTCCGAGGAGCGAGAGGCGCTGATGTGCGAGCTGAAGATTCTCAGCCATCTCGGTTACCACGACAACATCGTCAACCTGCTGGGAGCCTGCCCCCAGGGAGGTCACTCCAGCTCAACCCCGAGTCACTTCGCCCGACTCGGCTTCGGTTGCTTGGCGCTCGCTTTGCCCGCGCTTGACCGAAAGCGACCCGTTTGCCTTGACTCGCAGGGCCCGTGCTGATGATCACCGAGTACTGTTTCCACGGCGACCTGCTCAACTTCCTGCGCGTGCACGCGCGCCACTTTGTGGCGGACGTGATGAGTCTGGAGCCGCCCGAGCGCGACGCCAAATACTCCAACGTCAGACTCAGGAGGTTCGCCGGCCTCTTCTACTTCTTCCGTTTCGGATACGTCCACGTGCACGTCACATTGATGGTGTGTGTGTGTGTGTGTGTGTGTGTGTGTGTGTGTGTGTGTGTGTGTGTGTGTGTGCACGTGTGTAATTTTGTTCTGCAGTGACAGCGGGATCTCATGCTGTTCCCAATATCAGGAAATGCAATCAATGCTTTCCCACTCAGGTAACACACACACACACACACACACACACACACACACACACACACACATTTTACATTTGAGTTTCTGTGTGTGTCCTTCAGGTGTCGAGCAAAGTGCATGTTTGTGCGTTAGTGACCTGATGAGGTTTTCATACCATGTGGCTCAGGGTTTGGACTTCCTGTCGACACGAAATGTAACACACACACACACACACACATTGTCCATGCGTATGAGTGTGGTTCAGCAATGTGCGCGTGTGTGCGTCAGTGTATCCACAGAGACGTGGCGGCGAGGAACGTGTTGCTGACCGACCGCCATGTTGCCAAAATCTGCGACTTTGGTTTGGCGCGAGACATCCGCAACGACGACAGCTACATCGTGCAAGGAAACGTCAGTAAACGACTACCAGGCGCCTACGCAGCTAGCACGCAACAATTACACTATTATAATTTTTTTTGGTGTCGCGGCTTCTTTTACTTTGACGCTCAGCTTCCTGCGCGGTTTTATTTTGGCAGGCGCGTCTGCCGGTGAAGTGGATGTCCCCCGAGAGCATTTTCCAGTGCGTGTACACGGTGCAGAGCGACGTTTGGTCTTACGGCGTCCTGCTGTGGGAAATCTTCTCCCTCGGTAACCTCGACGGCACTCGCTCCTCGACCATCTCTGACCTCACGCGACCCCTGACCTCCGTCTGTCCCCTTCAGGGAAGAGTCCTTACCCCAACATCGCCGTGGATACCAAATTCTACAAGATGATCAAAGACGGCTGCCACATGGATCGGCCCGACTTTGCCCCGCCGCAAATGTGAGCGCAACACCCCCCCCCCCCCCCCCCCCCGCCCACGCGGGGCATTGCTGTCAATCAACTTGATTGACCGGTCTCCTTTTCAGCTACCGGCTGATGACATCGTGCTGGAGTTTGGAGCCGACCGAGCGGCCGACGTTCAAGATGATTGGTCGGCTGATGGAAAGGCTCCTCCCCTGTGCCAATAAGGCGGGTCAGAGTGAGCAGGTAAGGCCCGGTCGCGCGCCGCCATGCGATTCAACCAGTCTGAATGTTCAATTGCTTTCTGTTTGGCGCTCAAGCCGACGTACAAAAACATCGACGAGCGAGGGGAAGATGAAGAGACCGAAGAAGTGGACGGTGACGATCCCTTGAAGGGGGAGGAGCAAGGTGACTGTCACTCATTGCCTCTTTCATCCTCCCGCTCCTGTTTTTAATCTGACTTTGAAGTGCTTCATGAAACAGTGTCACTGAGTGTCTTTCCTGCTTCGTGACCGCCGAGGGGCTCTTTAATCCTTCCTGGAAGTTGAAAGTGTGTCTTGATTGAAAGGCTTCCTGTGTTTTGACCGCATGTGTCTTTACGGCTTCAGAGGGGGCCGCTGAAGACGAAGAGTCGATAAAGATGACGAAGCTGACGAAGAACATCTACCAGCTGTCCTGATGCTCTCGCCCAATCAGCTCTGATGAACCTTTCTGTCCTTGTCATCGATGACCACACGCTTTACAGCAGTCGGCGCTACGCCGATAAAAAAATATATATATTGTGAAGGGCCGCAGAATGTTTTTTTTTTTTTTTTTTTGCGAACTGAACCCAATCACAGGACTGCTAAAAACAATAAGTGAATTCTGAAGAGCACCGTTCAAGGACCAACACAGTTAGCATAGCATTGGTGGTGTTATGCTCTTATTTTGAAAGTCAAAGTGAACCACCTGTCTTACTTGGCATCAAGCGCAGCAATCACGCCCATTCAGGTGCGACCAATCATGGCTCGTGGCTGTTGGCGGATGACGCGAACTAGCTTTGGCAGTGGCGTACGCAGCCGCATCCGCTCACGAAAAAAAAAACGCACTTCCCATTGAGCAAATGTTCACAAATGCCACACGTGGAGTCAGCGTTACCTCGCTGTATGTTTTAAGCGACCACGTTTTGAAAATGTCTTTTCACAGCATCACCTGCCGGTCCCATTTTAGAGTCGCGCTTTCGCTCGGGGACGCCGAGCTCGACCGGGCGTCACGCCGTCTGCATGAAAAGCAAAAGGCGGAGAAAATCATTTATTTGCCTGTGAGCATTGTCATCTTCGCTATTCGCGTATGTCGCTGCTGTCGAATTCCCATCGCATCCGTGCTCATTTCCTTGAGCCACTCTACGGTGTATAGCATGACTTGTTAGCATTAAGCTAGCCGACGTTTGTTGTTGTTGCGCACGCTTTGGCGTTTGAATACACGATCTCTGTTTTTTTCTGCCTCAATTTCACAGTAAATTTCATCTGGGAGTGACCCAAAAAAAAAACCTCGTTGCCTCTTCTTTTCCACGTGAGGCTAAAAAAAAAAAAAAAAATCGCTTGTGGCACAGTCTTTGACGGACGCAATTGGAGCTTTATCGCTTGACGCCTGTTTGCTCACGCTGTCCTCTTGGACTTTTCGGGCGCATTAATAACAATCACGTCGAAATAATGTGACATTTTTACTGCCGCTGGACTTTCTTTGACGCGCGCGCGCAGGGTGGGACGGCGAAAAACAAACAAACAAAGTCATTGATTAGTGTGATTCGCGTGAGGGCTCCTTATCAAGATTTTGCGCTCAATGATAAAAAAGCCCGCAAATCTTCCCTCGCGCTCCAAACGTTCGTGAGGAGAGAAGCCGAAGCCCAAGGTAAGTCATTCGTTGGCACGTTCAAGTATTCAGAAACGTCCACGTCTTGACTGGCGTGCGCTCCAATCGCTCTTTGACTTGTCCCCTCCGCTATTGCCTTGATCTTTTCACTCGTTGACGTCGTCCTTGTTCACTTGTTTGCAGATGGATTTGTTCATTTGCGCGCTCGTTTATCGGCTCGTCCTCCTCGATTTGTTCACGACTTGACGCGGTTCTCAGATCTTCCATTTGTGTGCGCCGTGACGTCATCCTTCCGTGCTCGTTTGTTGACTCGGTTTACCCGTCGCCTCCCGCGTGAGTTCATTCGCGAAAACATTTGAGGCGCACGTTCACGTGTTCACTTCTCGACTCGTTCCGCTTCCTGCTCCCCTTGTTCACCTCGCAGATTTTCCAACCCGTGCCGTCGGTTGCGTCGAATTCACGTCTCCTTCACTCGCCGGCAGGTGCATTCGCGCATTCGTTTGCTCGTGCTCTCTTTGTTCAGCCACCGGCCTGTCGAGCGGCCGCGGACGCCGCGATTCGGAAAGCGCAGGTGACTCGCCGACCAAGTCTCAATGCGATGCATCGAGGTCATGTTTCAGTCAATCGACGGATCCGTCCTCCGATTGGGTGTGTCAGGTTGCGGGCGTGGTCCAGGATGCGAGGGCGCGGCGCCTGTTCTTCCTTCAACTGCCTGCTGGCGGCGCTGTGCGTGCTTCTGCTGCTGTGCTGCGCCGCGCTGACGGCGCTGATGTGGGCGGAAGCGCCGCCGCCGGGTGAGCCCCTCCGTCCGTCCTCGCGCCACCGAAGTTTGACTTGGCCGCCGTCTTGTGGCATCTCGGTGTCAGGGAACGAGGTCCAAGTGGGTTGAGGCCTTGCATTTTCTCAGACGTGTCCCGGTTTGAATTTGGCCCCCAAATGAGTGCTTTGCTGCCATCTTGTGGCATCTGTGGGCAGTGATTGATTGATTTTTTTGTTTTTGGACGACTAACGTGAATGAATGGCGCGTGTGTCAGACGCGGAGGGGGCGGGGCTGCGCGGCGAGATGGCCATCACGCACGGGGCCGAGTTCAGCCAGGATCTGCGCAACGGCAGCAGCGCGGCCTTCAAGGCGCTGGCCTTTGACGTCCAGCGGCTGGTGAGCGGGGGGGCGAGCGGGCGGTCCTCGACATCCGGCCGCCGGGCTGACTCGTGATTGGTCGACAGGTGCGCGAGGCCTTCAGGCGCGGCGGGCTCAGCCGGCGCTTCGTCACGTGCGACATCGTCGCATTCACGTGAGGAAGTATCCAACGCGATTCGGTTGACGATATTTATCATGAACATTGATCGTTTCCATCACTGATAACTGGTCACTGACCACAACTGAAAATTGATCATAGATATTGATTACTCAACACCCTTATCAAATATTGCACTCACCTATTATTGGTTAGCTGAACACTCTTCTATTGAACACATTGATTATTGACAATGGACATGATTGGAAGCACGGATTATTGACTCCGGAGCATACTGATTATTAATCGTTCACTCTTAGTTCTTGATAATTGAACACACTGATTACTGGACACAGGGATCCATGATCATGATGCATTGATTAGCAACAAGATTGATTGATTGATCATTCATAATTGAACACGCATATTGATCATGGAGCACATTTACTCTCAACCTATGATAATCGGTTGTTAAACAAAGTGGTTATTGATTTGTAATTTGTGTTGATTGATAGTTAAGAATTGCTTCTTGATCACACATTGCTGAGTGATTGTTGATTTTTGATAATTGCGCGTCTGCTTTGGTTGACGAACCATTGATTATTGAGCGCACTCATTGATTGTTCAACGCTGAGTATCGGTCACAGAAAACATTGACTGTCGACCGTGAATAATTGTTGTGAGTTGGTGGGGGGATGGGGGGGGGGGCACTGATCATTGATTATTCATAATTGCTCACACAGTCGGGGCAGTGTGCTGGTGACCTTTGACCTGTGGTTCACGGGGAGGGTGGAGAGGCAGGAGGCGGAGCAGCAGATGAAGGCGGGCCTGGAGGAGAGCCGAGGATTGGTGGTGGACAGAGACAGCATCCGCATCACGGGTGAGTTAGCGGCCGATGTGAGCTTGAAGTTGACTGGCCTCATGGCGCCTTTCCACAGAGAAGGAGCAGCAGGAGGAGGCCACCGCCACCACCACCGCCGCCTGCACGCCAAGCGCTACGCCCGTCACAAGTGAGGAAGACGTTTTCTTGTCTCGGTTGCAACCGCCTCGCGCTTCTCAGGCTCAGAGTTGGAATCGTTTTCGCGGCGGTGTTTTTCTCGGGCACCCGTGTGTGTTACCTGCGATGAAAACCCAAGAAATTGTCCACGGGGGCCATTGGCATTTGCCAGCATGGGCCCATTGGCCGGCGACCGGTCCATTTTTTTCTCCATATGTGCCCCGACATCGACTGGTAACCAGTTCACGGTCGATCACTGCTGTCCGTGCGCCCCGAATGAGAAGAAGCGGTCTCAAAAATGGACGGCCAGACGCCCGCTGTCTCATGCGCGCCTCATTTCCTGTGTGCGCCCAGTCACGTGTCCTCCTTACCACGCTTCCTGCGACCGCTCGTCCACGTGCGTCCACGCCGAGCGCCTGTGCGACGGCATCGACGACTGCGCCGACGCTTCCGACGAAGACGCCGCCCGCTGCGGTCGGTGCCTTACCTTCCGCTTCGCTTGCCCGGGAGTCGCTTGTTTGTTGCCGTGACAACGCAACCCTCCTGTTTCCGCAGCAACGACCTGTGACGGACAGTTCGTGCTGCGCGGCCCATCGGGATGGTTCGCCTCATCCGCAAAAGGCGGCTTCTGTCGCTGGATCATCAGGTTCCAAAAGCAGACTTTGGAGATTTACCACGAGGTTAGCGGCCAATCATTGCTGAAGCTTAACCGTCCATGTTTTTTGTTGTCGCCTTCAGGGTCCAGAGTGGCTTTTCTGTTCAAGTCAACTTCCACGAGTTTGAAAGTCGAGAGAATGTCGACATTGTGAGACTTTACGAAGGAGTTGGTGCTGACAAGACGATGGCAGGTCAGGAGAGCCCACAGCAG